TTTGCAGTATTTCCATTTTATGTTTAAAAATCTGTTTAAAATCTGTTTTTCCGTTAACCAGCTGTCGCACCCCTACGAACGACAATCCTCAGAAGTTGAGACTTGTAGGAGCTAAGGATTAACGAGGTCTTACCTTTTAACGTGTGATTCCTAACACGGTCCTAGACTCCACACTTAGCTATAAATAACATATTTCCGCTGTAATTCAGATGCTTGGCATTATAAAGATACCCACCTGCAATTTTACTAACATCGCTGCTATCAAATCCCTTTATTTTTCTCTGGTTAGATCTTATCTCAATTATTGTTCCACATTTTGTAAGCCCCAATAAGTTACACATAAAGTGAAACTCGAGGCTATACACCACAATTTCCAAAGGTATATTGCCTTCAATATGTATGTATACAATGACTATATTGCATTAGAACGAGGCACACAGAAAACACAGAGACTATCAGTTATCAACAGACTGAGTACCAGCCCGGAGCTTCTCTCCAAATTAACTCTGCTTGTCCCCAGTCGTTCAACTAGGCAGGTGCAAACCTTTTATATTTCTTTTCACAGATTGATTTACTCATACAACAGCTTCATAACAAGAACCTTCAAATCTTTAGTATTAGTATATCAGTTCTCCGCTTCAAAAATAATATTCTTGACCTCGCTGTTTAATACATTCAGCTTGGGCTGTAGTATTGTGTTTAGTGTTACTTGCCTGCAAGAATTAGATCAGTTCATATTGTTATACCTTGTGAATTTTTCTTGCTTGATCTATATGTTATCCTACTATTTTGAAACTGTATTATTATTATAATTTACTTTTTATCCACTGAATTGCATTGACTACTATGTAGCACTGTAATACTTTTATCTGAATTGGGCCTGCCCGTGTATAATTCTGTGTAATTCTTCATCCAACAGAAACATTACTGCTCTTGGCACAGTAAATACATTTAGATGAAACAATTTCTTTCTCTCTCATTTGTATCTGAACGTAACATCCTAAAAAACTTTGAAGTCATTCCACCATTATAGTGAAAATTGAAGATCCTTGGTTTGTGTTTTTGTTGAAATAAATTTGAAGTAATCTATACATTAACAATTTTTTTTAGAGATTGAAGAGAAAGCTGAAGCCAAAAGTTGTATTCACAATGTTAGAAAGTCCTCAGCTTGAGTCATTTATCAAACATTTGGGTATGTTAACCTCTTAATGGTCCTGATGATTTTAATTCGAGTTCAACTTTAGGTGGAAGTATTGTGGATACCGTAGATTCTTCAACAGTTTTGGTAACAGAGCATGTGAAAAGGTCTCAAAAGCTGCTAACTGCCGTTGCACAAGGAAAACCCATCTGTTCTCCAAAATGGATCCATGCTTCCAAAAAAATGAACGAGTTTCTTGGTGAGTATCAACGTTTATCATTTCCACTCATGAGATTCAACAAAATAGGATGAACATCATAAGTGTATTCAATTGAAAAAATATTCATTTTCAGATCCATGGGACTATATTCTCGTTGATATTGAAGCCGAGATAAAATGGCAATTTTCCTTGAAAGAGTCGCTTACCAGAGCTGCTAATAATAAACTCTTGGCAAATTATACTTTCCAGCTGATGGTTACGAATGCTGCTGATGTATTGAAAGGTAATTTGACATCAATATAATGGGCAACCAAACAGCTGCAAACAACAATATATTGCATTTAATTACATTTTCTCTTAATCTTTAGTGTTGTCTGCTTTTTGAAGATGTGTTGGCACTATGTAATCATCCCAAAACCTAATTTGGCACTAATCACTTCAAAAATTTCAAGATTTTCTTTTTATATTCTATAAAATGGCATACCTTGAGGTTTTTGTTCTTGAGCTGAGTGTACTATTTGTACAATATCACTTTTAATCAATTTGTAGACCAGTAAAATTTTCATTTCCTAGGTGCCATTGAGGCAAGCGGTGGAAAATGTGTTTCCAGAAATCCAGGAAAAAATTGCGGCGAAAATAAATTTATAATTGTAGCATCTCCAGAACATAAATCCAAATATGCAAAAATGAAGAAACAAAATCAGAATATTACAATTGTTGAACCAGAAGCCATATTTGATGGAGTTTTGAGGCAAGAATTGAGATTTTCAAGGCACTTGTTGAGTTGAGAAATAGAGTGGGGCAACATCACAACTTATTTTATACATGTTTACAAAAAATTAATAAAAAAATGTAATTGCTCATTTAAATATTCATAGTATGCCAACATAAATAGCCCCCTCCCTCATATCAACTTTTGAATGTAACAAGATATCAAGTTTCATCAGAATCTACATAGAAAAGTATCATTGTTGTTATAAAAATTGGGGTCGATTGATAGGTGTTTCAATTCTCTATCAAACATTTTTAATTTTTGTAAATCGGATCAGCCATTCCTGATTTATTAGCAGTTTTATGTTAGTTTTAAAGATTTACAAATGATAACTATCATTCTAGTAAATTATTTTAAATTGGTCACCATTTCAAACATGATCTAGAGTGCTCTATCCAATACTTTTTTTTTTATTGTTGAAAATCGAAATAGCTGTTCCCGAGTATTTAGCAGTTTAATATCCGCTTCAAGAATTTGAAAATAAGTTACACATATCATTTTCAAGAAATAATTTATTCAACAGTCACTTCTGTTCATTCCAATAAATATTCAAAATGTTTATCTTTCACTCAATGAAAATAATGAAGTCTGTTTAAAAATGTTTTTTATACATTATTGAATGTTCCTAAAGTAATATCGTTGCAAGCACCTCTTTTTCTATCCACGAGTTCAGAAATGAATTGAGGCTTCATATCAGGTGATCTAGTGGGCTCTTCTAAGGGATCACATTTGCCTGTCAATCAGTTTGAAAAATTGTCAAACCCAAATGAGTTTTCAACTGATATTAGGTTTCAGCAAGATGATGTACCTCTTTATTATGAGAGCTGGGATCACATTTGCCTGTCAATCAGTTTGAAAAATTTTCAAACCCAAATGAGTTTTCAACTGATATTAGGTTTCAGCAAGATGAGGTACCTCTTTATTATGAGAGCTGGTCTGAAAGTAACTATCCAAACCAGTGGATAGGTAAACGTGGTTCGTTAGAATGATCTGTTGGATTACCTGATATGACACCCTTAGATTTTTGTGAGGATTGGTGGAATCTCAAGTTCACGTTACATAACCACAGTCTACTCCAGAGCTCATGTTTAGACCAAGAGGTGCTACTAGCGAAATTACCTCAGAAATATTCCATAATGGATTTGTAAATATTACTGGAGTTTTTTCCCAACACCATATCGTTATTTTTAACACCTCGACACGTGTTTCGATCACCAAGTGATCATCTTCAAGAGGTAATATTTATTATTACACCAAAGGTTCCAAACAGTGCATCATAAATGGATTTGTAAACAAACTACATTTTTGTCAGGAAATGAATTGTGACCAATTTAAACATTTACTGGAATGAACTGGCGTGAGTTTAGAATACATATTTTCTTAAAATTATGATATGTATCATTTGTTTGTGAATCCTTGAAAATTATATGAAATTGCTAATTACTCAGGAATGGCTGATCCTATTCTCAAAAAAAAATGTTGAATGGAATTGAAATACCTATCAAAAGAGTTATCACAAAACCCCCCTTTTATTTGAAAGAAAAAAGGTGGTAGCATCCTCTCAGCGACGAGGGATGAAAAACTGTTGTCTTATCAAAAAGTACTAAAAATGATGCCTTTTTAAGTAAGTTTTGTCCAAGCTTGATATCTTGTTTCATTCAAAAGTTAAAAGGGGGGAACTATTCAAGTCAAATTCAAAAGGAAAATATATTTCAATAAGCATCATTAATTCAATAATACTAATAGTAATAAATCAGGAAAGATTTACTTGTATTTTGAATATTACAAAATGAAGTTTAATGAAGATTTACTTGTATTTTTGAATATTACATAATGAAGTTTAATGAATCGAGCATCTAACCACATATTTATTGACTGGAATTTGAATCCAGAAATGATTTTTCATCACTCCAGATATGGTCACGATACCAAATTCACATTGCTAAAATGAATGTGTTGAGATGCTCCGATTTTTGTAGATGCTCACATAAAAATATACTCATGAAGTAAAATTCAATATCAACTGATTGACATCCCAATTTTACACTTTCATCTCATTCCTTTTTCTATAACTTTTTTTTTTCTTCAAAAACCACCAGTTTTATTTCTTGTATTGTATTGTAGGTAATTTGAGCATGCTTTTTGTATGATAATATAAAGAAAATCATTGTCATGAGCAGAACTCTAAAAATTGACTTGATACAATTGATTACTCATCTAAAATCAAATCAATAAAGCGTGTAATAAGTAACTAAAATGATTTACTGAAATATTTTTCTACTACATGGTCTATCAATTACAAACCTACCATTCAGAATTACGTTATCTGTTTTGTTTCAAGTACTCTCGATTTTTAATAACCATCATTACATGATCGTTGCATAATATACTATTATGATTACATTTATGACTAAATAATCACTTTCACTATATACAACTCTACATGTGTATTGGTTAAATAACATTTCTCATTTTTTTTTAATTTCAACTTATGAAAAATTATCAATACTTTTATATTATAAGGATGAATATTTCAAGTACACCTTCACATAAGTAGATGAAATTTTGCATAAACAAACCCCCATCATCACCAACTCCGAAATAAATTTTATCCTTACATCAGTCAATGCTTCCACCACGAATATGGCAGTGGTAGTATGAGTTGTGATTTGGCCAACTCGTATCCTTGACTTCCCTTTAGCTAAAGCCATCCAAATAATGATTTGATCTTGACTGTGTTCATCTACGCAACCACCCTCTTCAAACTGTTTGATCAACTCTTCAGCAGCTCTTCTACCAGTCTCTTCGACTTTTTCATTTCTTCTGCCAAGTGCAGATGATCCTAAAACACATTTTGTATCTGTTTCAGCAATCAACCTGAAAGTAATGAAAAGTTGCATGAAATGATAGTTGAGTCTCAAACTTTTGTTGAAGACTATAATAAAAGTTTTGTATGTCATTTGGAATGCATCTCAAATAATTTTTTTAACTCACAAAATTCCTGAAGCGGTATCTGGTGCTATGCTTCTATCTTCTTTATACCTTTCAATTCGAACATCACCAAAACTTCTCAGTTTGCTTCCTGCACTATCAGCCATTTGATGTGACAGTCTCTCAGGAAGAGTTCCCGCAACAAAACTCCATCCATAAATAGAATTTATATTACCTCGATCAATAAGTTCAACAGGATACACTTTTTCTATGGGATTTACTTTCACAACAACTTCACCATTGCCTTTGGGAAAATATCCTCGCCTTACCAAGTCAAAATCAAAAGTGGCACCGAATTTTTCCATTATAGGTTTAAAAACTTCTGTGGTGTAGTCAATTTGTGGGGCCATTTCCGCATTCGTTCCACCTCGTAGAGTGAGAGTTGTTGAAGATTTTGCAAAAAAACAACATGGAAGTGCTACTTGTAGAAGAAGGCTAATGCTGCCTGCAGTTTTAACCTGTGCAAGGAAATTACCGCCTTTAATTTCTCCTGGATAAAATTCTACTTCTGTAGAACCTAGTGATGCACCTTTAACATTGGCGGAGCATATATCTCTGAGTAATTCAACACCTGAAATATAAAAGCCATGCATAATGATGAGTATAGTTTTTGTTTCATGATATTCAATTAAATTTGCTGTTATGAAACTGAAAATTAAGTAAGGAGTGGAGTGAATCAGATTCATGATCCTCAATGGTGTAGTTTGAAGTAACATTACAAGACGAAGCATTCATTTCTTTCATAACAATACGACCTTATGTCACCGGTAGAGACAAATCCGCTCTTGTCACGATAATAGTACATATACACAGTCATACACCTAGTCATTCCCAACTATAGGCCGATTGGTACCCAGGCGGTTCGACGTGGGTCCTTTGTTCACTCACTCGAATTGACTGCCATATTGGTCGGTGGTTCAAACCCTAGTCTGAACAATTGATTTTCACTTTCTATCGTCCAACTCGTGTTAGGAATCACACGTTAAAAGGTAAGACCTCGTTAATCCTTAGCTCGCACAAGTTTCGACTTCTGAGGGTTGCCGTTCGTAGAGGTGCGACAGCTGGTTAATGGAAAAACAGATTTATAGGAATTCCATTTAAATTAACAGGAATTTTTTTGAGTGCACTTATTGTTAATGCAATTCTCAGAATTTGTCCACCCTGAAAATATACTCAATAATATTACCTTCAATTCAATATTCGAATAAAACTTACACCTTCCAAAAGAGAACCATCTATTTCGATATAATTTTTAGACATTATGTGCTAAATTATGAAGAATTAGTTTCATGAAAATTTGGTCACTTTAAATTGGGCATAATCAATATCGAAGCCAGTTTTACATTAAAAAACGTTTATATGACAAAGTTCCAAATCAAAAAATATCGGAACTACTCTGATTTTCTATGGCCAAATCCGAGAATACCTACACCACAGAGAAGCGACAAAGACGGCCATTTTGTGTCCCTTTTTCGTAGACGCATGCGTCGACTTGGTTGTCTTCAAGTCATTCTCGGGCTTAGTTGTCTCCATTAGTCTGTGAGCACTGAGCAAACATAATGAGGTAGGTAGTTAGTTACAAAAGGTACCTACCTAATTCAGTATACATTAAAATTATGCTATTTAAGCAAGAGCAAACTGAGTTGAAATTAAGCAGCAATACTCCACGAAAACGAACAGTGCGAAGTAAATTGAAAATTTTACGAAGGGAGAAGATCAAAAAGGGATCTAAAGCGACAACAGGTTGATCAATATTACTGGAATTTTTTCCCAACAACAATTCGCTATTTTTAACACCTCGACACGTGTTTCGATCACCAAGTGATTATCTTCAAAGAGGAAGCTTTAATTTGTAATATTACTGGAGTTTTTTCCCAACATCAAATCGTTATTTTTAACACCTCGACACGTGTTTCGATTACCAAGTGATCATCTTCAAAGAGGAAGCTTTAAACTGGATGTGATGAAATTATTGGTTTCGAAGATATTGGAGAGGCAAATAAGAGGAATTCCATATGTAGAAATGTTCTCGTTTTTATGGCTAAAGGACTTTATTCTCCCTGGAAACAACCGATTGCTTTTTTTCATTGAATCACAACTACCAGCAAAAAATCTACGTGATATTTTGGATAAGTGCATTTCTAAATTATCCATGTTGATGGCATTGTGAGTGACATGGGCTCTAACTTTTATGAATTGTCAAAGTTATAAGGGGTCACTTTAGAAGAATCTGAATTTGAGCTCGGTTGTAAAAAAACTGTTTATATTTTTGATCCAAGTCATTTGATAAAAGCCACTAGAAACANATATAATATAAGCATTATTCTATTATCTTAACTTTATTTTAATTTTCTATCTAATGAATTGTATTTACAAAATAAAGTGATTTAATTTATTTCTTAAAAGCCAATTCATCATAAATGATAACAAATTGGCAACATAGTTAAATATTCTCTATTATTACTGCAAACGTTGTTCAATTAGCAATATAAAAATTGAATGGAGTAAGATGCCCTTCACACTATAATTTTATATTTTACAGTGAACCCACGTACTATACTAGAACGTAAGAGTGTGTATTTTTATTAGTGTATATCGCTGAGAGGTCATTTTTCTCAGTGAACCAGGTTGTTTATCACTCAAAATCTTCGGTTCGGAGTTGGGACACCGAACATCAAAGGATCCGACGTTAATGTCGTTTCTCTATGGTAGGTATTCTCGGGCCAAATGTCCAAGACCATAGACATGACACCGTATGGAAGTAAACTTCTATATACGGTGTCTGAGGGTTACACAACGTCTTGGCCATTGCGTCACAGCACCACAGTAGAAAGACCCAGTACCCAATATTATCAGTAAGTCACTATCCCCACTTTTTGGTATCATATCGCATGATTGAATCACAGCGGGATGTTTTTGGATGCGCCGTCAATTGACCCGATAATGGGTAACGTTGTCATGTCTAACATTTTTAATGAATTTACCGCTTTTGGTCTATCAGATTGACGACGTTTCTCTTGTGGAATCATGATAAAGAGGAGTTTTGTGGTGGCGAATATTACCACTTCTCCAGAAATATTCCAAGTTCTGATTTATTTCACATTGTATTTGTATTTTAAAAGATATGCTTTCTGCAGGCATATGCACTTCAGCTTTCTGCGCGGCATTACCTGTATTTTTCATCTGTACTTGGCCATTCTGAGCTCGATGGCCGACGTTAAAGGAAACTCTTGCGAAGAGTCCGCGACCCTTGGGGGTGGTCTTCGAGTTGGTCGTCGATTGGGACCTCGGTGTGGTCTCGAGATAGGACCTCGACCTGGATCTCGAATTATTCATCGAACTAGGATAAGGTATCCCCATAAAGATAAAAAAAGATAATACTAAAAAAAATGAATAAAAATAAAAAAAATAAAAATGAGAGAAAAGAAAGGGAGAGGTAATAAGAAAAGGGAAAGAACCAGGAGAAGGTTGGGATTTCCCAACATGCATAACTTGCATACTTTACATACATGCATATTTGGAAATTCTGAGTTGTTTGAAAACTTCAAAAAAGTTTAATTTCTCCCAAGTGAGAGAACAATCCTGAACAGTCCATAAATTTTGAAGTAACAATTTTACAAAATTCCCAACTTTTTGCTGTTTTTTCGACTTGGAAAAGTTGAGAAATTTAAGGCCGTGAAGATAGAAAAAATAGTAGAAAACAATAAGCACAATAAGTTTTGTTTCCTTTCATTTGTATTGAATATTCCTAAATATGGTGAATATGGTGGAAGACCAACGACCTTGGTCCAAAGTTGAATAATCCCCAAATTTATATATAGTATTTCGATGCGTCTGATTCAAAATAGGGACAATAAATTCTGGAGATTCACCAATACACCTCAACTGCCAAATACTCCCAAAATTTGTTTCGTAATTCATTGCATGCAAACATCCATACGAACGAATAATGAATTTCATTGTGTACTTCATGTGAAGCAAATAGGTCGTATCAATAAAACACAAAATGTTTGTTCATACTTAGGATGGAGTGTGGGCTTTGAGATATCCGAGTTCTTCGACGAGGTAAACTTCAATTAGAAAGTTTCGTATAATTTCAACATACATCTTACGACAGTAGATACTTGATTATCTTCCTTGAGATAAATCAATTTTCGATTCAGGAATACTTTGAAACATTCTTTCAAATCCTCAAAATCGCGATGTTCTTCCCGTGTCTGGTCCAAAACAAAAAAAAAAAGGAAGAGACGTTTTCTTTCTGAAATCTCGAAATGTCAAATGACATGAACTGTCATAAAAGACAGATGAATTATTTGGAAAAAAACGATATCTTATAAATGAACTTTGTGAATATGCCGATTCCAGCAAAGATAGGAAGACTGGTTTCATATTCCTGGCATAAACAAGCTCATAATAAATCGTAATACGAAATGAAATGTTTTTGTTATATCTTAAGTGAACTATAAATTATATGAAATTTTATAGACGGTTCCTTTCTCCATTATAAACTCTACTGGGGGTTTACTGAAAACTGAAGTAGTGATTTTAAAACCGTAATACATCCCTCTTTCTCGAAATAAAGTTTTTGCTTCAACAAAAACTTTTATCTTTAACTTAATACTAAAAATGAAACTGAAGATATTTTACAGTAAGAAATATGTTTCATTAAGTTGTGTCAGACTCACTAATATTGTCTTCGTTTGGCGGATGAGCTTTTAAATCTTTTGCATGCCATATGTTTGTTGACCTTTTTATATTGATATCTTTACTTATTACCAATCATGTGACACTGTGATCATTTTAAGGAATTTTGATACGCTAGTTTAATTTATTTAAAAAATTTATTTCTTTAATCTAGAGACGTAGTACCTTTAGTATATAGTATATATGACTTGCCATAAATGTATTTTGTATATAAAGTGGTCAAATAAATTACTCTAGTCTACTCTACTCCACTGTCTTTGTCTTTCTCGTCTTTCAGCTCATAATCCCAAGGTGAGACGATCTGATGAACTGTATAAGGTCGAACAAACTTTGGAGCTAATTTGGCAGAAAAGTGATTATTAGCATCGGAATCACACGTTAAAAGGTAAGACCTCGTTAGTCCTTAGCTCGCACAAGTTTCTCTATTTCTGAGAGTTGTCGTTCGTATGGGGGCGACAGTTGATTAACGGAAAAACATATTTTAAACAGACAGATATCACATGGCTTTTCTTCCAAACTAATTATTCACCTTAAAACGCTCATCCCGACGATGAAGATTATATAACTTATGATAGGCCTCTGTAAGACTCCTTTTGATATCTTTGAAGACCTCTTTCAAAGAATCTGACCTCATTTTGAAGTCAGTTTTTCGTTCGGGGCTAAGATCTAAATCCGGCTCTGAGCCAGAAGTTCTGATGTCGCGTCCAAATGTTGCAAAGAGGGATTACACCCGTAGCCTCATGTTTAGCGCACCAGATTGCCCATGTGACCTTCGGTAGGAATTGATCCCATATGCCGTCAACATCGTTTTAACTACCCTGTGAATTCGTTCCACAGGATTTGCTTGAGGGTGGTATAGAGCAGTGGGACAATGGTTTATTTCATACTCCTCCAATTTATCTTGGAAAACTTGACTTAAAAACTGTTTACCGTTATTAGAGATTAGACGGTTAGGAGCACCAAACAACAAAATCACTTGTTCTTCAAAAAATTTCGTAATTCTTGCGGCAGTAGCCGTACGAATTGGAAGTAATAGTGTAAACTTTGTGAAACAGTCCAAGACTGAAAGAATAAATGAATTACCCTGACGATCGAGATAATGGGCCAACCAAATCTACGCAAAAGATATGCCATGGTTTTGTGGTAGTAGGAAAAAGACTCAACATGTGTCCTATGGGGAGTTTTTGCTCCGGTTTAGTCTGGAGGCAAACTCTACACCTTCGAATAAATCTAGCAATATCATTATTCTTTTTAGGCCAGTAGTACTTTGTTGAAACACGACCATATATTTTCCAAATTAATAAATGACCACAAGTAGGTACATCATGGTTACTTCGAATGATATCTGAACGATTTTCCTTTGGTATTACTTTCAACCATTTGTCGGATTCTTCAGTCAAATCAGTATATTTTGGTCGAGATCTTTTATAAAGTGTATTTCCCGGGATTCTCCAGAGTGTATATTTCACCCCGGATTCTTTCACTTGAGTAAACATATACCAGACATATTTAGAACTATTTGTACCAATGTTTTCAACTTCTACAGTGTCCACTACTTGAACTGACCGAGACAGGGTGTCAGGTACGACATGCGCCTTTCCCTTGCGGTGAACAATGTCGAAATCATACTCCTGAAGGCACACTGCCCATCGAGCTATACGGCCAACTGGATCCTTTATATTGTAGAGCTATTTCGAACTATAGTGGTCTGTAATGACTGTAAATTGTGTACCGTCAATATATGATCTCAATTTCTCTATCGCAAATAAAACAGCTAGACA